CAATGCAGTAACAAACATCAATTCTGAACAAATTAAAATCACAGACCTGAATACAAAAAAGGATGTTGGACCAACACATATCTGCACTTACGTACGTACAGCACTGAGAATAATGTATTGATGCGGCAGATAAAAGACTAAAAGGAACCTTTTCCCTCATCAACCGATGAGTTAGATGTATCTACACACTTAGTCATTTTACAAAATATTTCAGAATATATTGAACATTACAGCATCACTTATCTCATATAGTGTGTGGTCCTACCTTAGTCATCCACGCCTGTAATTTTGATACTGCTGCTTAATAAACTATTTGTTTTCATATCCAGTGGATGGAGAATGTGCTGTGGAGATGAATTTGTAAGTTTTCAACCTTCAGGAACTGAAAATAGAAAACAGAATTAGAAATGGGAAAAGCGTCTAAAATGAACATTACAAAAATGAAGAAAGTGCAGGTACAGTGGAACCTCAAAAACACAATTCATTCCAGGAGACGATTCAACTTTTGAGTTAAATTTCCCCATTTGAAATAATGCAAATTGAATTAATCCGTTCCAGACCCCCAAATTTTACCCAATATAAAACATTTTAAATGCCTTAAAACAAGTATATTTAAATTCAATAACTGAATGTTTGTGTAGAACTCTTGAAATTAGAGACGACTTGTTAGTCCATAAGGTGGGTGAGGAGTGGTGCTGGGGGCAAGAATTTCACCCAGATGAAGCCATATTCAGCACTAAAATCCTGTTCCAATCCTGGAGGGTGTGCAGGTGCAACACCAAAAGGGCCTTGAAAGATAGACTTTTCTCATCCAGATATTTCTTCGCACCTGGGGCAAAAACTTCATCAATCCACTCAGTGAAGAACTCCCAAGTTACCCAGGATTTAGGATTTGACCTCCACGTTACACTAAGCCTGTTTTTGTGCAGTGTTTTCCTTAATAGCCCTGGGGTCTTCTTTCTCTCGTCAATGTAACGCATGCACTGAAAATGGGGGGGCGCCAATTCCAACTTCTGCTCGAGCAGGTGGGTCTTAAAGAGTTTGGAGGGGGTACTATGCCTGTGCATGCTCTTCGACATTGAGGCGCCAAGTTTAAACAAAATGATATTAAATGCCGCCCTAGCGCTGCTATTTTACGTTTGCGGACATGGGTTCCTATTTGAAAGTTGTTCTATAGGGAACACTCAGTACGCTCCTGAAGTATGGCATCAAACTCCTGGGACACCCTGTATAGTGTCATATATGCCTAATTAAGCAAATATTGCTAGAAGGCTAAAGCTAGAAATGGGGTACACAATATATCATAAACAGATGGGATGCAAGGGTCATTTAACATCCACCCTTTAATATTAATATAGTGTGATGTACTGTGAACTGCAGAAAAAAAATGTTAATTACTATGGATATCTTCAGTACATACAACTCACCTTATTAATGGTGTGGTATGAAAAGGGTTTGGAAGCCTGATTAACAAACACAGATTTCACTGGCTTCTGTACTCCAAGAATGGTGACCTTGTCTAAAGCTGGCATATCATTATATCCCCACCAAACAGCAGATCCTGTGAGCTGCGACTCAGCCAAGGTGAAGTTCAGCAAGTTGTACCCTCGATCTGCATACGTATCTGTAACAGTAAAATTATTAACAGTGGAACATATGTGTAACTAAGGGCATATGAGAAAAGCCACACAAAATTTCATCATGGCCTAGGACCTACTTTCCATGACAACCATGACATTACTAGAAAATAAATACATGTGTTCTCAAACAGTTAAATAGTTTTGTGTGGTTTCACAAGCTACTGAAGACATAATGGAAGAATCCTCAAATAACAGGACCTATCTTAGTACTCCTCAAACCTTGTGTTGGCCTCTTCACAGTGGCCTCTCTGTCCTACTGTTAATCAGTGTCCTCATTTCAGCTTTCAGTGTCACGATCAGCTCATCATACAATACTACCTCAGGGTTTTATGTATTTCCAATCCTAAATTGCCAGCAACCTCACAAATCATAAATGTACAGTGCCTAACTGATAAACATTTGCAAGGCTTCCATTGCTGAATTCTTGACAGAGAGCAGTTGTAGTAAACTGGAACTCAAAATGATGTTCATCTATAAAAAATAATTCCCCCACATCTGTTTCAGGATGATATAAGTGTCTGTCACAGTAAAAAGAGATCCAAAATATTGTGACATGATGGCTGAAGGCGGGGAATACTGGAAAAGGCGTCCAAAGCTAAGTAATGGTGCTGTAAACATGTTACAGCAGATAGTAGAAACAGAAAAGATGACCGCTGCTACGCAATGGCTCGGTAAACACGTTTCCTTGGAAACTGATGTGAACACGCAACACTAGAAAAGCTGTTGGAAGAGAAGTTCTCTGTGCAGTCTGCACTGAGACTGTACAAGATGTAATTCAAGCTTTCAAGCAGTTGAGATGGTGAGTGGGTCTGCAGGCATTCAGTACTAGCCAGTGCTGTACAGACACAGCTAGGAGGCAGACAACAGCCAGGGACTGTGGCCATGAAGTCGCATTGTGAAGAAGCTGCCATCCAGCAAGGACAGAAACCTCTGAACACGGAAGCAGAGGAATCCACAGTGTCAGGAGCTGCCACCAAGCGATGCCTAGTTAAGACACGGCAGACTGAGAAGACTTAGTGCATGGTGTAGTTTTTGTTAAGCGTACAGATCTGTAAAACTGTTATAGTTACTTGTAGTTATGAGCTGTTCAATAAAACCAATTACCAATCCAAACCCAGTGTCTAGTCACTAAATACATAATAATATTAACTTCTAAAACAGCAAACACAGTTTAAAAAAGTTAAGGCAAGAAACAGGCAGGCTACAGTTTATCACTCAACTTCATATTTATTTAGAAAAGTAAGAAAATTGTGAACTATATGGAAATTCTGGATTTACAATAAATGTCGTATCCCAAGGGAGCAGCCAGTCCCAATGGAAGACAGATTTCCCAAGCGGCTAGGAAATAATGGTGGCAGGTTTGCAGACATACAACTTACAGGTCCATACCTAATCAAGCTGAAAAGATACACGGAGTTGAAGTTGACTGATCATTTTAATTACAGAATGTGAAGATTATAAAGTATCCCTGCGCATAGCAGTGGTGGTGTCAAACCCACCCCAGTTCCCCCCCTCCATGATGAAGTTACAAAAATGTCTGATGAAACCCCAAGAACAACATGTTCTAGAACTTTCTGAACACAACAGAAGATTCCATGACTTGTGCCCACTGTCTTGTCGAAGGTTAGGGTCTAAACAACAGTCAATCCTAACTATACTACCTCTGCTTGTTTGCATGAAAAACCAATAACATTCCATAAGTAAACTCGATGAAGATATACTGACTGTGCTACCTCAGCAATACTGAGATAATGCCTGTCAGCTATACTGTCAATCATGCATAGCTGTGTAAGTCTGCAGAGTCATTAATTACTATTAACATTGCCAGTTACAAAGTTTTACCTCATAATGCAGTTAATAAGACCCCAAAGTTGGGCCTATACTGTATGGATATGCAAAACACTCAATATATTCAATTTCATAATTAAATACTACAAAATTCAGAGCCTATCTACATGCATGCACGTTGTAATTAAACTATTTCTACGCACTCTAATATGCTTGAACATGACATCACTCAAGCGGTTAGGCACTACCTTCTCACTGCAGAACCTCAGGTTTGATTCTGGGTGCCTTCATGCAATATTTACCATGAGTGACCTGGTACAGGAGCAGGTTTTCTCCAAGTTTATTTGGTTTCTCTTGCTAATCTTAATTCACTATTGCTCCACACTCATCTAACACTACCCTCGAGACACATGACGGCCCCCACCAAACACTAAATTATCACATTCTTAGTCTTTTAAGTTACAGAAGTTCAGTTTCAATCTAGATGCAATAATTAACCTTATTAACACTATATTTTTATAATAAAGTTAATCATGCTCATAATGAAACTTTATAAAGGTTTATTACACTAAGAACTTCTGTTCTGTACTTACTGAGTGAATCACCATCATCCCAGTACAAAGAGCCTGTGGCACGACAGTCCTCATCCAGGGTTACCAGGAGCCCAAAGTCATTCTTTCGACTGGGGGTGAAAGAGTTTACATGCCATTACAATTGTAAAAATGTGGTGCAGTTCAATTATTTGGGAACACCAGTGACAAATCAAAATTTGCTTCATGAGGAAATCAAGAGGAGACTGAACTCTGGTAATGCTTGCTACCATTCAGTCCAGAAGCTTTTGTCTTCTCGTCTGCTGTCCAAAAACATAAAAATTACAATATACATAAAACTATAATTTGCCTGTGGTTCTGTATGGGTGTGAAACTTAGTCTCTGACATTAAGGGAGGAACAGAGACTGAGGATGTTTGAGAACAGGGTGCTGTGGAGAATATTTGGACTGAAAAGAGATTAAGTGATGGGAGGTTTGAAAAAATGGCAGAATGAGGAGCTTCATTAATTGAATGATCAGGTAAGGGAGGATGAGATGGGCAGGACATGTAGCATAATGGAGAGGAGGAATGCATATACGATTTTGGCAAGAAAGTTAGGAGGAGGAAAGAGACCACTAGGAAGACCTTGGCACAGGTGGGAGAATAATATTAAAATGGATTTTAGAGAGATAGGATGGGGTGGTACAGACTGGATTGATCTGGCTTAGGATAGGGAGCAGTGGAGGGCTACTGTGAATATGGTAAAGAACCTTTTGGTTCCATAAAATGTTGGGAAATTCTTGAATAGCTGAGTGACTGGAAGCTTCACCAGAAGGATTTCACTCCATGAGTTAGTTACAATTGTAAAAACATTAGTAACATATTTAATCCAATACAGATGCTATGATGTATCTAAATAAACATTAAAACATTTTGAGAATCATTAAAATAACTATCTGTATAAACAAAAAATTTTGAAGTTTTCCTACAAATCGCTCTCTTGCAATGGGCTACAATGGTGTACAAGGGTGCACTTAAATTTGAGAACTTTGATCTTGAGTGAGAGGAACTGGTTAATTCCTGTACATATACATAAAATATTGCAAGTAAAAGAAACGACAGTTTTCTTAAATAAATTTCATACACTCCATCTACTATGGGAATGAGGGGACGTCATTATCAGTTAATGACGAAGATCATTATGCCATCATCAGAAAATTACTAGATTCTATTTTCAACATGCATCTAGTATTCAAACACATGCAAGACTCTTCTTCTGTTAGGTTGCCTATAAAAGGTGAAACACACTCTGGGTCATAGAGTAGATGGAATTTATGATCAATTTTGGATGATCTCTGCTATTATAAGC